AGGAAACTGTGTTGCTGCTGTCCTCAGTTGACACCGGCACAGGGGAGCCCCAGAGCTGATCCTGATTCACTCATGGCCTGCAAGGACCAGCTGTGCAGGGAGGCTCTATATATGTGTCTATGTATACACATGTGTTTGTATGTATTTTTCTTCTACTAGAATGCATAGCTGTGGTAATTTTCCTTTGCCACCTCTGTCACCTGTTCCCTCCAGTGATCGACTGTTTAAAAGCAAGTTCAGCATAAATAGAAACTAGCATTAATACTTTCACTTTTATGTTGGCAGGTGGAAATTAGTAGCGTAAATGCTTTGAATTTTTCAAGACATTGTGGCAACTAGCCAGAAAATAGTTGTTATGTTCTATTTCTTTAGAATTTTGATTTGGGGAATAAAAATGGTCTTTCTATGCATAAAGGGATGTTAATAAGGAACAGACATGAAATGTCCATGATTTAGAATAGTCTTCCATAATCTAATCTTCTTTCTGACTGTGCCTTTATACTGATTAAGTTTAGGAATGTAACTACTGCTTAAAGATCCTAAAGAAACAGTAGTTAACTGGAGAGAAAGGAGAGTACTCCTGAAATTACTTCTGCTTAGTTGAAGTTACAAGAGGAACATAATCATACATGCAAGCAAATACATTTCAACACAAATTGAAGTACAGTAAAATCTCTGTTATCCAGCATGTGGGGAATGCCAGGTGCCAGTTCTGTAAAAATTACAGATATCTAAAAATACTAGAAGGCTTGCACGTGGTGGTGCAGGGTGGTGGATGGCAGCAGTACAGAGTGGTTGCATGCGGCTTGCACACGGTGGTGGTTAGTAGAGTATTCTGGCTAGTAGAATGCCAGATAACAGGGATTTTACTGTAATACAATCACCAACACTTCAAAAAAGGCATGGAGAATCTTGAAAGGGTCCAAAGAAGGGCCACAAGAATGATTAAGGGCCTGGAGGACAAACTTGGAGGAAAGACTAATGTATCTGAGACTGTTCAGCCTAAGAAAGAAAAGACGGAGGGAGGACTTGGTGGCTGTCTCTAAATATGTAAGAGGTAAATATCAGGAGCTGGGAGAAACTGTTCACCAGGGTGCCCCAAGGGAGGACAAGGAGCAATGGCCATAAACTGTTAGAGGATGGTTTCAGATTGGATGCAAGGACGAACTTCTTTACAGTAAGGGTGACCAGAATCTGGAATAGACTTCCCAAGTAGGTGGTTCCCAACCTTGGAAGTCCTCAAGAGGAGACTGGACCAGCAGCTTGCTAGGATCATTTGATCTCAACAGTATTGCTGCCCAGAGCAGGGAGGTTGGACTTGATGATCTTTTGAGGTCCTTTCCAGCCCTTAATTTCTATGATTCTATGAACATTCCCACTTCAATATGGTAGGATAGTATGCAGAGAAAAGCCATGTATTTGACCTGATTTTGGGCAACTATTACTTCCTTATGGTTGAGGAGGGAGAAAAATCTTTTGCTTTGGTGTACGCTGGCTACCTGATATGCACCCTTTCCACGTGTGCATGACTTAATGCTCAGCTTCTGTCATAACAGCGTGCATAGGCATTTTTATATATAAATGTAAATAAATATAGGCTTTGGTTACAGAGAACAATAATTATTTTCTCTCTTGTTTTTGGAGATGGTAAAGAAGCATGTAGCATCCGTCCCCTGCAGCAGGGTAGTGTTCAGAGAACTGAGAAAAACATTTTAAGATCCTTAAGCAATCATTTACGGGATCCTGTGAAACTTGAGTTAAATGAAATTACGAAATCGTTCCTCTGTCATGATGAAACAAACCTTGCCACCTTCTGATCCTAATACAAAGTTTGCTGCATAACCATTGCTTTTGGCTAACCAATATTTACTTTAAAATATGCATGTGTCACACTTTTTTTCCTGGAAGAATAGAAGATAGAAGAGAATAGAAAAGCAAATTCAAAGGACAGGAGATGGATCAATTTACAGTGGTGGTCTGGTTTAAGTTCCAAAATCTAAAAATTTACATAGCAAATTTAAAATGAATTTTAAGTTCTGAAATGTTTCATTTTGAGGGTGCACAGAAAATACCTTATTTCTGTACCCACTTTGGGAAGAATTTTAACTTCTCTTGAATTCAGCTGTGGGTAGAAGACAAGTAGAAACCCTCACGCTTGATTGTTCATTTCTGGAAAATTTAAAACAAATAATTAGTAGTCTAACAGATTCAGAAAGATCAGAAAAATTACTAAAGGCACAGAAAATTCTAGAATAATTTCTGAGGGGTAATTAGGTGATATCTTACTCGAAGGTGATGCTTTTGCTGTGTGTAATTATTTAATTATTCCCATACCACAAGAGAGAATCACAGTATGTTACAGTCCAGAACTACCTTTGAAGCCATATAGGGCACATTTTGCCAGAAGTATGGTGCCGGGGAGGACTTCCCATTGGACCAGGTTTTAGTACTAAATATTGGTTATATTCAAATATTCCTTCCATCTGGTTGGCAGAAGTTAATTGTTGTCTTAATTGGCTTATTTAAAAAATAATGACCTTTACAAACACTAATTTGCAGGTTTATTATGGAAAACTGCTGAAAATTTTACATTTGCATTTGAGTGAATGTGTGTTCAACTGCAAAATGTTGGCTAAATGCATGCGTCTGCCTTATTTGTTCTCCCTCTCAGCATTTTTTGAAAGTGACTGTTTCTGCAGATTTGCCAGAGATTATAAATTGATCACGCACTGTCACTTGGAGTTAATGACAATACCACAAAGCCACACTTAGTATGTGTATTTCATTGGCAAAATGCTGCTTTGTGCTAAGTAATATGCCCTGCCTACTTTCACCTGCTCCACATGGGCCCAAGCCCATAAATTAGATATTGTATATGTAATTAGATTAAACCTGAGCATATGCACTCAGGCTGTTCCAAAACGGGCACCCTGAGGACAAGGCTGGAGTATGTGCTTAAGGTTTCTCAAAGCTATCTATGCTGCCTTATTTGTGAGCTTGTGCCTGCAAGGAGGAGATTGCAATGGATGAGCCTTACTTTTCAGAAGGGCTCTTGGGTACATCTTTGTTTCCTTTTGGGTGAGCCCTCTTAGCAAATAACATTAATTTATTTGCAAACTGTAATTAATCAAAGCCATGTATTCTGTATCTTTATGTAACGTCCAAAGGGTTATGTTTCATTATTGTAGCTTGCTTTTATTTTCCTAAACATCTTATGCAATATTTAGTGTCCTGATTGCAAATGAAAGCAACACTGAAATCATGAATATTGTAAACACAGGTTAGAAAAAACCCTTTGGAGTCAAATTGGGAACCAATGCTATCATTAATTAACACGTGCAAATTAATGTTTGATTAGTACCTGTCTTTCTGAGGTGCTAATGAACATTTGAAGCTTACATTCATTTACTGGAGTTCTTGGGTGCGCCCTGCTTTTAGAGGGAAAGGGCCTTTTTATTGCCATTCCTCATATCATATGGCAGCCTTGTACTTCAAAGTGTTTATGGTCCTGAATTCAGATCTTTACAGTAGAAAACAGGCCCTATGATTGGTTATAAATTCAAATGCTTAATATTCTACTAAAATACTTTCATGTTAAAATATAGTCACCTTTTATATTTTACTACCACTTCTACTGGGTTTATTCACTATTTTTTTGCACTACTTTCATTGTTGGTACTTTTACTTACCTTTTTGTCAGAAGTAGGTGTTCTATGTGAAGAATACCGTGGTTTCTGATGCAGAAATAGATGATGTATATGAGCAATATTTAGTATCACTTCACAGGCAAAGAAAACCAGAGCTTCCTTGAAATACTTCTGAGGATTAGAATTATATAAAAGAATATCTTCCCTCAAACAACCACCTTCACAACATTAATTTTGTTATATTGTCCCTTATGCATATTCACTCTCCACAATAGAAGTGGGGCAGAGTTTTCTGCCCTCTCCCCTCCCTCCCCCCCCCCCCCCTTTTTTTATTTATTTTTTTAAAGTAAAGCATAGCTCATGAAAGGGCTGGTATCCAAGAGGGAGAAAACTAGTAGTAGGCTAATACAGAATGCAAATGTTTACTATTCATGTGTATTTGGGGTTACATTCACACCCATTTCCCCATCTGTAGAGGAATGTTGGAGGCAAGAATTTCTGAAGGAAAGTCAATTCTGGAGTTAGCAGCAATCTCAGTAGCGAACTCTCGGGCCCCTAGGTGCTGTCATCAGGTTCTTTGTGGTCCTGTTTTCAAAACTAATCAAATCAGCTAATCTGCTCCAAGTCACTCCCATGAACCCTTTCTGGGGTCCTTCCCCACAAGTCTTGTCCTCGTGCTTCTTTCCCTCTAATTCTCATTCCTCCTTAAGGCTCTGATCCTTTCATTTCTCCAGACTTTTTTTTTTTCTTTTTCATCCTCGGTCTTTACCTGTTTAAGTAAGCTGCTTTGGCAGGCAAGCTTAGCATGCCTCTCTCGATGCACCTGGCAGCTGTATATACAGCAGTTTGATATCTCATCACCTACTAATGCCAGCTAACAATCCAGATGTCTAATTTTGCAGTGAAAGTCTTCTAGGGTAAAAGTACCCAAAGTCCGTTGTAACTGGTATTTTGAAAGCTTTGTTTTGCTCTAAGTGTTTTTGCCCAGTTTTCATTGTGCCACCTGCACAGAAAGGCCAGGTCTTTCTCTACCATATTTTCTTCATGCAGTCTTAACTAAAGTAAAATCCTGTCTCTAAGAGAAAATGTTAAAGCTGAGAGACCCGAACTGCAGGCAAATACCCTGGGAAATTAATGGGGAGGGTTGGTTGTTTACTTTTTGCTTGCACGAACGTGTTTAGATCACCCTTGGAAGTTTTTCCTGCGTATTAATTGCTCTTAATTGCTAGGTATTTCTAGCCTGCAGAATGTAAACTTTCAATTGTACCTTCATTGAAGGTATATGTATAATTTCTTCAGGAATGCCAGATAAATGTTAAGTTGTTACCTAGAAACCTGAAATGCTGACTCACTTTACAATTTTTCTCTTAACAGGCCAATATGGAAATCCTTTAAACAAATACGTTAGACATTATGAAGGATTATCTTATGATATGGATTCATTACACCAAAAACACCAGCGTGCCAAAAGAGCAGTGTCCCATGAAGACCAGTTTTTGCGCCTAGATTTTCACGCTCATGGAAGGTAAGCAATTATTTAAAGCCTTTCACTTCAATAGAAATTTCCTATTTATTCATAAATTCATAGATGTTAGGGCTGGAAGGGACCTCAATAGATCATTGAGTCCAACCCCCTT